TGCATGGCAGGTACAGAAGGGAAAAAAAGGATAAAAAGATAACGCTTTCTTTTTTTTCCTATGAAGAGTTTTTTCTCTGATCCTCATATGCCAAAAGCTAGGGTGTTTTTTCCTTTCTTTTCTGCCTAACTTAGCTCCTTGTCTGGAAATTAAGCAACAAGACTCTACATACAGAATAACATTTTGACTTCCTAAGGAAATACCACTGAAACACTTAGTACTGTTTGATATCTCTCTTGGGAAAGCAAAACACGTTTATTAAATCATGCATGCTAACTCCAAAAGGCAACAGAAGGAAATAACTGCTTTATTCTTTTCACTGAGGTTTTGTACAAACAGATACTGTCACGGATTGCCATGCACTGATCCTTCTTTGCTTATGCAGCTTAAAGGATATTCAGGTAATATCACCAATACTGTATTTTGCAATTCATCCTTCAAACTCCATTTCTATCACATACTTGTTCAAAATTATTGGCTGCCATGCTATTAAAAAAAAAAAAAGCTCTTCTTTCAAATAAGTTTCAAATTTCCCCAGCCAATTGTATGCTAATTTCCAGAATACACTTCACCTAATACTAGTACTCCATGATGATGACACAGATGATCTTTACAAACACTTCTGTGCAACCAAAGAGGTTTTGCTTTGTTTATTTTATTTCTACAGAACAACAAAATTGATTACGTGGCTGGGCTTTGAGAGATCTGCACGTCTCCAGCATACCTGGCTTCAGCTGCCAACTTCAAACTCTATCTTACTCATTTTCTGAAGTGGAATATGAAAGGCCACATCACTCCTGGCATGTGTTATCAGTCATGCTTTTACAGCACGACTTGCCTTAGCTATAGCAACCTTCTGGACTCTAGGCAATCTTCAGATGTGTGCACTGATTGCCATCAACAAACTGTCTCATCTCCAAGGACTCACATGGACTAACCAAAAAGAAGGACTAGGATTACAAAAGATTTATGGCCACTGGGAAATGTAAATTTAAGAGGGATTAATTTCTCCCACTTCCAGATACCTATGTCCCCAACTATGTGGTTCTGTAAATTCATCCTTCTTTCCCAGATCCTACAAGAAGATGGAGACAGACAGTAAGCCACAAGGAACAGCTAGCACAGATCGGCTGGACTGTGGGGCCAGAGAACCTATAGTGCCAGATTAAATATGAGATTTTCAACTGCCTGAGAAGTTTGCTTCAACACTTCATATGATGAGTAGGAAGGTGCAAAAAAATCTCTCTTCAGCAGAGAGAGTGGAAGGAGGACATTAATGTTCAAATGTATAACAACATTCTTCACAACCCTGTGAAGCCCCCATTACTTCAATTAAAAAATATGTGCAATTTTTTTTTGGTACTTTTTTTTCCACAGTTTCAGTATTGTCTCTTGCAGCACTTTTAAAAATTAACTTATTTAGAATATTCCAGTACTAAACTTCACCACTACTGAGCTTATTGTAATATCACAAAAAGGAGATAGGTGAGATAGGTAGAACCTGATGGGAAAAGCATACCAGCTGAACTAGAAGCGAGAAAAGAAGTGGCACATTTACTCCTCACTTCCTTAGACACACTTTTAAGATTCAATTCCACACCTGTAATTTCCTAGAGGACAACTAAGTATCTGAGGAATTACAGTCAGTGATCCTGAGAGTTACGAGTTCAGATTTTCAATTGACAGCATGAATTCTGGCTTCAGATACAGAAATTATTGAAAAACTTCCATCATGATAGGTGCAAACATACATAGAAAAAAAGAACAGAAGAGACATTCCAGGCATTACTAAAGCAGCAAATCAAAAATTGTTTCATACTGAGTTCAACAGATACAGATGCGGATGGAAATGAATATAACAAGACATCCTCACCACTTCTTTATCATACTAACAACCTGCAATATAACAACACACTTACAAAAAAGTCTGGCAGGAAACTTTAAAGACTTAATACTGATCAATTACACTTTAATTCAAAACAAGCAACAGCAAAAGAGACTATTCCACTCATCTATCCGCCTATGGAATGAGGAGGAAAGCACACATCCTATTGTGAAATACTTAGTGGGGCTGTATCTTATGCTCCCCAAAGGAAGTCAATGTGGGACACTTAACTAGAAAACCAACAACCTCTGTAGTTATTTTTTTTAAGTAAAACTGCAACCTTTCAAGTCTTTGTTACAGTAAAAAGAAAAAAAAATCAAAGGAAGCAAAAGGTCCTCTGCTCTGTATAACTATATTTCTGATTTGACAGCTACAATTATAATCATTCAGACATCTATTTCCCACAAACTCTCCACAGCCATAACCTTTAGTGATTAATTATAAAGTTCCAGGAGCAATAGTACACAGACTAATTTCCTAAAACAATAAAAGACAGAATTTCTCATTTGGAGCTAAATGAAACACGAACAGGTTGTTATTCATGCTGAAATCTAGATGCAGAGTCATGTTGCAGCCATTACAGAAGCTATTAAACACAACCTCAAATCAAAGAAACTGTAGGTCGCTCTCCTAAAATAAAATGTTTTTCTCACTTATGAGGCTTCTGAGTCCTTCGCTCTGTTCCTTTTTACCTCTTCTTAGTAAAAAAAATTTCAAAATTCAATTTTCTTTCTCATTTTGCATCCCCATTTAGTTTTTAATAGTCCTTTAAACTGTAAGAGTCTAGAGCAAAACAAACATTTGGGAAAGGTTTCATGCACATAGAATTATCATGGTGTTCTCTTCACAGTGAATCAAAGTTACAAGATGTGTACCAACTTTTAAACAAAATGCCCACTCTTTTTATGCCCTGCCTCAGTCTCCAATGAGTTTTCCATAGTGAATATTTTATAATTCCTCAATTATTTTGTATAGTGAAATTTATAGTCAAGTTCTACACTCCATCCATTTTGTTTTTTCTTCTTCACACATCCCGCTTTACCCGTTTAATGGAAATCTTTAAAAAATTACCCTCCAATAAAGACAGAAACTTTGCAAACAATCCTAATTGCTGGCATTGCAGATACTAAAAAGAGGGGAAATTGTTATTTTTAATACGATTAATAGTAGTTTTCTTAATGACTTATTTCTGTCTGCAAGCAACATTGGCACTTGATCCAGGAAATTTGCTCTTGGCAATTTTGCCGAATTAGGCTATCAAAAGGGGAAAGAATTGAGAAAAGATCTTTACATAACTGACACCATATCATCCTTATCCTTGGGCCCCACTGTGACCAGCTAAAGTCAGTGGGAATTTTTCCAAATATTTAAATTGGTATCGAGTCAGTTGTAGAACTCATTGAATTGCTAAACCATAGAAAACTTTAATTTAATATGCATACTCTTGACGTATTGTCGAAAGGCTAGTACGATAGTCACCCAAAAAACTTGTCAACAAGATACCTAAAATATTAATATTAATGTACTGTAGATTCTCCCCATAAGAAGTATATAAAATTTGTCATATCAGGTAACACATGAAACCATGAACATTCAAATTAGCAAGCTTTCATGCAGCAGCTTTAAAAAAACCCCTAATGCTAACTTTACATCTTTTCTGTATGAAGCTTCTGTGCTTTTCTGAAGGAATTCTATCTTCAGTCATATTTCTTAGCATTTAGTGAAACTTCGTAATTCATTTTGAACTATATACACAAGACTTACACAAACTAAATATGCTTTTTCAGTGCTTTTTTTCTGAATTCAATATGCACTAATTGATTAGGGTCTGAGAGGTGAATAAGAAATACATATTCTACATAATAGAAAGCTGTGGAAGGGTTTAATGCATGAATTAGAAGCCAGATTTCTTCAATACAGATGAGTACACAAAATTAGCAAAAGGCAATACCACTTTTGGAAAGACTGCTTTGTGCATAATTTGTCATGAATTCAAAGTTATTCCTTTAGAAAATGAGTCTAAGACCTCCCAGCTGCTGCTTTATTGGTCTAATAAATTACCATTTTGATGGTACAATGCATATACACTATACACCATCCAAGCAAGCAAACTGTTAGAGCGGCTTTGTCTTCAGAGACGCATGTGTGACTTCAGAGACTTATGAACGCTGATGGGAGATCTGACTATAATGGGGGATCAGACAATGCCTCTGTTCTTGAGTTGATAATGAAAACAAAGGATGTATAAGTTTCCAAAATGGTAAGAGTGTATTGTAGGATTGTTTGTGTCGAAAAAAGTGAGTCCATGTCAATCTGCCCTTATTGTAATAGGTATCTAGCAGCTCTCTGAGACAAAACAGATCTATCTTATTTTAGGGTCTCTACGCTACCCCAGTACCTGAAAAGAACATTAGAACAAACAAAGAAGATATTTTCTTCAAAGGATCCATTTCTGACTTAAACTTTGAACCTTCTTCTTGTGGAGCTGGGACTCAGGGAGCTTAGTTCAAGTTTATACCAATGCTTATAGCACTATAGACTGAACAGATGTTCAGTGTCGGTGCTTTCTACCCAAGGTTATTCCAGGCAGGTAGGCCATAACAAGCATTTATCATGACTATCCTTCATAGCTGTGGTTTGTAAATATCCATTCAAGGAAAGACCAAAATGCAGAAAATCCAGAAAGTTGGTGATTTAGCATTCCATACTTTACCTTTCTCCCATGAACTGTGGAACTCATAATGAATTCCAACAACCTGACATTTTGGAAACTTTCCATCATTTACAGGAAAACTCTAGACTCACTGTATTATTGCCAGTAGAAAAGTCTTTTATTACTACAAATACATTTAGGGAACAGTTTAAAATGTCTGTATTCTAACATAATGAAAACAATACTCTCCCAATATTTTTTTAAAAGCCTAGTGAAGATGCCTATTAGGAGGAAAACTGGAGAAATACTGCAGGAATGGGTGCAGTAATTTTGACTGGTAGAGCAAAGCTTACAAAACAAAAGAGCACAAGCGTTTGAGACGGATCTTTGTCTTTGTTTCCCATGTACAAAAAAACAGGTGTTAAGAGCTCCCCTACAGCTCATGTGCACAGCATTACCTACCTGCATTAGAATTGAGGTCTTCATTTTCTGATTCTGTTCCATTTTGACTTCCACTTCCATGAAGGCTATTCATTGCCATAAGTTTCATTTTCTGTAACTTCATAGCCTCTGCCATGGCAGCTGCTGTCAGACCTGGAAAATATAAAAAATAAAATGCAATATCATACCATACAATGCAGCACTGAAAAATATAAAGAAGAAAACAACTCCTTTCAGTGAGAATAAGTCAGGAAAATTCAATACGCATTCTTCATCCAGTTTTGTTATGTTATTCTGAAAATATCTTTATTTTAAAGTTGAGTTCTTTCAGTTACACCATCCTAAGGATTTATTTTATTTTAATTCTTTCAAGCTTCTTTTTATTTTTTTACATGTTAAGCATAAAGAAATATTTATTTAATGGTGTCCCTTTTGATTATACTTTTAAATATCATTTCCTGTCACTTTGATCATTTTGTCACTTTGATCACTTTCTGCTTGACTTATTTAGCTGCTACAAAATTTCCAATGCACTAGTAAGATACAGTGTTCCTTAATTTCAACAGTTCAAAGCCAATTAACATGGAATTATCAATGCCATTGTATGTACTATTATATTATATATTCAAATATTATTTCTGCTGGAAAAACTGTTAGAAAAGTACAATAAGGGTAATTACAGACTCGATCCCACCTTTAAGAGACTATTAAGACCAGCACAAATTTACAGAATTAAGTGGCGTTAGTGGCAGAAGATTTTCAAGGGACTAAAAACCAATTAATTTCAAATAGTAAAACAGAAGAAGTAGAGTAGCATCAGGCTACAGGTTATGATCGTTATAAATTATTATTATTATTATTATTTAGATTACAAACATCTGTTTTTTGTAATACTAAACTTTTAAAGTTCTATCCTTTTGACCTGGTCAGTAAGAGATCAGCTTTTCTTCCAGACAGTATCAAATTACTTTTATTCTGGGCAAGGAGTGACTGAAAATATCGTATCTGAAGTTCATTTATCTTGCTGGAAAATACAGGGCATAAGGCCATGTAACCAAAAAGATCTCTTAAGGTATAACTGTTTATTCATTCAGTTATGGTTTAAATGGGTTTACTGTCTTCCTGCCAGTACAGTGTGACTTGCTTTTGTCACTTGCTAAACTGCAAGCTAAATGCTTCATATCAGCTATCTTGTATTTGACTATGCAATAGTTCCACAAAAGCACTGAGTTGCATTTACCAAAAAAACCCATGATTTTTTGTTGGTGGCGCATGTTGTATCACCCACGAAGATATCATGCATCAAAACAGAATTAAATAATCCGCTGTTTCTGGAAAGTACTGCTTACTGAGGGATTAGATACTGATTAAAGTGAATTACTAATTTTCACATCCTATACTGCCACACATCCATAAATTAAAATACTTTCTTTTAAAAGCTGCTACAAATTTGATGTTTAGATTAGCTCTGCTGCTCCTATAACAGGCTTCACAAAAGTTCTCATTATTTTAATACTACTGAAGTAAGCAAGCAATCAATAGACTCCAACTGCACGGAGGAGGAACACATATTATCACATCTGGACACAACAATTTGGTTAACTTCAGTGAAGATATCCCTAATAAATACTAGTAAGTTGGAGATAACAGGTTACAATATGGGAGATACACAAGCCCTCTTCTTTCCAGGCTGACTGTCCTCCTCCTTCCATCTTGCCTAAGAGACTCTCAACATCCACAAAAACTGCAGCTACACACTCCTATAATCCCAAAGTGCTGATTCCAGATCCAACAAATAACACCTACACAAATTAGGCACTTGTTTTACTGTCTTGTCATATTTTTTCATTATACAAACATATAAAAGTAAGTCCAGAAAACATCAACAATCTTGTCTTTTAGATTTAATGCAGTCTTCACTTCATAGAGAAGATCACTATACCTTAGGAGAACTCACTTTAAATTTAAAGATTTTTTTTCCTAATACTCTTTAAAGCTCTTTTGCAAATGCTACAGGTTTTTTTATTACACAGATATAAAATACTGATGTTTTAAATGCTGTTTTTACAAATTCTCTGGCTGACACCACTCACACTTAATCCATTAAAGAATAGATCTTAAATGATAAAACTGTTCACACAATTTCTGGAGAGGATGAAATAGTATATAAACTTTTCCACTTTTTTTTTTTCTAGGGAAAGGAAGTGGGATTTCACATTATTTCAGGAAGTTCAATAAACAAGCATCAACACAAGTTCTCTGAGAAATACACTGTTTTCAAGATTTCCAGAAACCTGTGTGATTTGCCCGCCTATAGCACATCTGTATATTCCATCCTCCCAACCAATGCCAAGTTTTGAGGTACAGCCATCACTAAAACATTTTAAGATCTTGTACCCACTCAGAGCCTTCTCTCTCCTCTTTATACTTCTATCCCATTTGCAGAGAATTCACATTTATTTTGAAGGTTACAAAAAATACAGAGTCTAAACATGGAGTTTTTTATCATAATGTTGTATCATTTATATGTACCCAAATACATACAGATGAACCAAAATCCCAGTAAATATTTTCATCTGGGCCAGTATTTATACAGGTTTTTTGATACTATAAATCATAAAAATTTACTTAGTTTAAATAGCCAAAACCATAAAGAAACTATTCATAAGGAAATAAACAGGGAATGAAAAGAGAATTCAGACCTTGAGTAAAATGTTCAGTGAAAAGACAAGACAGAAAATTACCCAAGGCAGAGTATTTAAAAAAAAAAAAAACACAAAAAAACGCCCAACCCCAAACTTCTACTGAACAGTTGTATCAGAAGAATAACAAAGGCAGAAAGAGTACTGAGGAACAAACAGAAAAGAATAAACAGTCCCAAAATCACCACGATGCTGCCTGCAGAAATTAAAGGTAATTATTGTCAGGCATTTTTGAGCTTCCTAACCAGACACAGCTGCCATAAGGACAACAGCCAAAAAACAGTGATGTATCAGAAATCTATGCTGTGCCATCTGCCACACCAAAGTCACTCTACTTCAGCATTAAAAGTTTAAAGAGTAAAGCACAATCCTGATGTAGAAAGCACTACAGCCTGAAGAGCCTGAGCAGTCAGGCATCAACGTGAAGCAGATATAGCCAATACTCTCTCTAAGCTCAGTATAAGCAAACTTTTTATAGTCTCATTCACTTATTCCCCAGTCTATATAATTTCTTACTTGAATTGTGATAGCAGTAAAAGCCCCAGAATCTGATTGTATGAGGCACTTTAAAAAACAGTGTACTAATTCTTCAGCATTTCTGAAAACTAATAAAATTGAGGTTAAAGCAGATGGTTTCAGCAGTAAGGGTGTGGTACTGATTGAAACGATGGGAGAAAACGTACAGCACATCACCCACTGGCATAATATTCAATTAAGGGTACTGCTGCAGCTAGTGTTACTGAAGAAGTTACTCTTTAATTTAACTATTAATAAAACTCCTTTCTATAATTGACTCAGCTCCGTCTGGCTGTGGCAGTGAGGGCTATTCTTCAACGGACTTATCTGAAGATCTACAAAGAACTGAAGGATCATTTCCATCTTCTTGGATGAATCATTATCAGCAGCAGAATCTCAGTTAGAGTACCCCACTTTGAAAAATGTACTTGAAAACTGCTGTAACATATACATCTATCCCTCTACTTTCCCCTTTAAAAAAAAAAAAAGGATCACTAGGAAAACCAACATCGTGTATTACATACTTCAAAGCTTCCGTTTTTTCCTCTCCATTTACACTTCAAATTTTCCTTCGTTCAGTTATCTTCTGCCAGCTGTGATTAATCACTAAACACTCAGGAAATAAACTATGTACTGCTGATTATCAAACACGTACAACCTTTACAATACTAACAACAACAACAAAAAAAAGCAGGAGTCTCATCACAGTTGCACTGATGTGTTTTTCAGAACTGCTAGTAGCCATGTGGCCAGTGGAGCTAGTTCTGCTAACAGTAACCCACAACCAACCAGTCACCTTGGCTGAAAGACAGCAGCTCCTTGAAGAGCTGGTAGGGATCTTTAAGACACATCAGCCCCAATGCAGAAATCTCGGAGCCACGTTCTGGGTCAGCTCTCTATATATGAATCTTGATTACAACTGCATAACAGATTGTGATGGTGTGCACTCAGGTACACCTGCATTGTGCATATGGCAAAACAACCAACTGCCATTAGTAATCTGCATCCCATAATTTCAGTTTTGTCAGGACACTGTGTACTCTCCCCTTTGACAAGTCTGCACAGCTCTGCTGTACAACACACAAATTTAGCCCTGAAATAACCCTTCAAGGACACACAAACCAGCACACTTTACACTCAGATTGCACTGAAGTAAAATTCTCCTATTATATTCTGAGTCACAGTTAAAATATACCTAAGCACCAAACAGTTTGCAAATTAAGGTTTTTGATTCAAATTAGGACCATACCCATCTTACTCAACATGACCCGCTGCTTGTAGGGCACCGGAGATGGAACAGACCTGAATGTACTGTGAGGCTTGGTTGCTTCTGTGAGGGCTGGACCCACTGAACACATCTCTGCTCCTAAAGCCCAGGTACCTGCAGTACTTGAGAGGGTGTGAAGAGCAGAGGGGTTTCTGCATCCTTTGTCTGAATCCTATTGAAGTTAGTAGTTAATTGTTTACTCAAATATCCCCTACACAGACATGTTGACTACTGAAGCTTATTCCTCTGTGAAGTCTCAGGAATTATTCAACAACAACAACAAAACATTATCACAGCATGGCCCAAAGATCACAACTCAAGGCTGTTTGCCTTTTATCCCCCTCAAGGCCAGTTTCCCGTTTCCCATCGCAGGGCGGTGCTGAACCCACCAGCTTCCCTGAGCACCAGGCAACAAGTGTCTCCTCCTTCAAGTAAACATCACTGATTAGCAAATACCTGCTTGGAGACATAAACCAAAACTCAATTGTATTCCCACACTGAGGTAACCGAGTGTCTTGCATGCAAGTGAATCCTCCATGCTTAACTAATGTCCAGTCACTGAAAATTGGATTTTGATGGTAAATACAAGGACTTTGAGCATTTTAAGGTGACCCCGAGTATCTGCTAATCTCGTACTCTAGCTACAGCTATTTTTTTCAGTTCCTTAA